ATTCAGCCCCACCTAGGGATCTGAACCCATGGTTGGCCATATGACTCCCAGTCTTCCAGGACATTTGCATTACTGCTACAACACAGTGGCTAAACCTAAACTCATATCTTATGACTCTTCAGGCATTTTATCCAATGTTGAAATTTTTCTCAAAATATCATTTACAATAGAACTTTACCAAAAAGATTTGTTTAATATGCCTAAGATATGTTTGATGAAGTGTTGTTTTATTTTCTTTCTATTAATTTTCATGATAATTTTTGCATTTTACAGATATGAATTATATTTCCTAGAATAGAACCATAGTTTATAATTTTATGGTTCTAGGAAATCAGGTTTTCATTTATATGTGCTTGCTTTTTAACTATCCAGGAATCAAATAGGTCAGTCATAAGTCAGAGGTACTCTGCTTAAGTGATGATTTAACAGAAACTTAACAGAATTTAAAGGAAATGGAGCTCAACTCTAATTGTGCCATTGTCCCATGAAGTGACCTAAATTCTGAAGTCTAAGCATGACACTGTCCTTCTAGAGGATAGAAGCTTTGAAAAGGGTCTTAATGTCCTGACAAGTACCATTTTATGCTAACATTACTATGACTAAGCCTCTTTGAGGTTTCAGATTGATTTAAAAAGTGTTATATTACTATTTTTTATACTTTAGAATGACATGATAGTGACCTTTAAAATATTCAAAGAATATTTTACTTGTAGGTTTTGAAAATTGCATCATAAATAATACTTAAAATCTTAAGCATCAATGGTTTCATCTATATGTCTGTTCCTTAATTCCCTGAGGTCATACTGACAAAATTAGACAGTAAAAATTATGCCTTAGGAGAAAAAGTAACTGTTAGGTATGAAAGGTGGAAGGAGATTGTGATGGAAGAGGAAGGAGCATTGCCTTATTCACACTCAAAACCAATGCTTAGAAATAGAAAATTCTCTTCTGTACAGGTCATAATCAGGTCATAATTCATGTGCAATGCAGTATTTTGTGCACAGATAACAAATTTCATTTTACAAATTATAAAAGACAGAAGGGACACAGCTTGAGTTTTCAGTTTGCAGGCTGACCTTGCAGCAGGGGAGATAGAACTTCGGACTTTGAAATATATACAACCTTTAAATCACCATGGAAAAATAAAATTAAAATTTTTCAATTAAACCTATCCAGACCTGGTTGAAGAAAAGCAATGAAGTTCTAAATGTGAACATTCATTCTCAGTTCACAAACCTCCTGCTCATAGTATATCTGATTTATGCTTCTACAAAGCATATCTGATCCACGATACTATTTTTTGTTTGACCTGATACCAGTCCCTTCAGCATAGCTGATCATCCCTGCTAGCACCAATTTTCTAAGATCATGTCTCTTCCTTCTGTTCTCTACTAGTAGCTTTGGGAGTCATAATTCATTCCAGAATAAGACTTTGACCCTAATATTTTCAGTTTTCCAGGAGGATATAAAATAGTCCCCAAATTGGTTAGTAGCAGAAGAACTGGCAAAAAAGGAATTATCTTTGGTAATCCTCAATAATAGCTAAGGGGGGCCAGCAAGTGGCATGGTGGTTAAAGGCACTGGACTCCCACATGGCCAACCACGGCTCAAGTCTCGGACCTGGTGGCTTGCTTCTCACTTCCTCTCTCTCTCTCTCTCTCTCTGTCTCTCTCTGATCAAACTGGAAAATAATAATGATAATAATAATAAATAAAGTTAAATAAAATAATTAAAAAATAATAATAATAGCTAAGTGAAGTGGCCACCTATTTTCACTTCCAAATTCTACAGGCCAAAGTAAGTAGTATATGGAATCAATTTCTCAAGTAATTTTCTTAACAATCTTTTCTTTAAGAGAAAGCAGTGCTGTCTCTAAATTAATTTTACACAACTCCAGGTCATTAAATAATTACACACCCCTTGCCTCTTACCTTCATTTTGGCCATGGAAAATTTGATAATTAAATTGTTTATTTTTATTTAATAGGCAACACAATTCAGTAATAAGAGAAAACAGCCTACACAAAAGAATCAAGAGGTCTAGGTCCTCTTGTTCTCTTAGAGCTAAACTGTGACAAATCACCAATTTTTTCTGAGTCTTAGATTTTTTTTATAAAACAGAAATAAAAGTTGTCTAGAAATCAAATGGAAAAATAAACACAACAGGGCTTTGTAAAATATAAAATTCTACACTGATAAATCATCAGTTATCCTGTTTCTATCCCCAAAGGAAGTTAAATTTTCATTAGCTTATCTATTGCTTTTCAAGCAGTCCTCCCTCTTGTGAACAATTTACAATATTCATTTGTAAAATAGATGACTTGTGTTAGGAGTATGGCTAAAATAAAATTATGGGCCCCCCCAAAAAGTGGGTCTATAGCTTTGGCTGCTGAAACTGTACAAGGAAGTAAGTGGTCTCACTGCATTGACATTTATAGTTTCAAGAAGCAGCAGCTGAACTGTGTGAGCACTGAGTAAGATCTCCTTCTGTCTAGTAAGTATTGATTCTCAGGCCCAGCAGGTGGCATAGTGGTTAAAGTGCTGCACTCCTACATGGCTCACCATGGTTTGGGTCCCAGAATTGGGGCTTGAAAATCACGCTGGGTGCATGTGCATGCATTGCCCAAAATCTTGAGAGGAGAATGGAGAAGGGATTACGGTGTGGCCATTCCCTCAGGACATGATTTCTCACTTTCCCTCTCACAGTCTCTCTGTCTCTCTCCTTGGTGAGTGCACCTGCCATATGGCAAAACTCTACATGTTAATTCTTATTTGTGAATGTCCTTAGTTTGTTGGGGGTGAAAAAGTGTCCCACAGCTGGGAGCTGCCAGAGTCAAGGTGTAAACGTGAACCATGTTGTCTGACATGGGCTCTGGTGATTCTAACACTGAAAAACATGACTCTCTTTTGAACATTTTCAAGGGATATACAGCACACTTGGCAAATACAGGATTAAACACACTACCTTTGGAAAATGCAAAAAGGAGAATTATAACTACTGAATAGTGGGGTATAGAAGTCCATCTCCACATAATTTAAATTTAACCAGTAGTTTAGTATTTTGCACAGGATTACCATAATTATGTGTACAAATTAAGGATTTTTATCTTCTCCTGACCTGTTGATAGGTTTATCTACCTACCGATTAAAGAGAATCCTAACCTTTTTTTCCTGGCTTTGAGTCTTAAGCAAATTTTTCTTAACATTTTATTATTTTGATTTATTAAGGCAAAAACTGCTTTTCTTGAAATTAAAAAACACAATAAAATAAAAAACACCTATTTAATGACCATAGTGAGCTATATAGCCTCAGCTAGGTGCAACTTTATATAGTATGTTGATTCTACTCACTGAGTTTTATGCCTAAAGTCAGACATGTGTTCATAGATATGTATAAATCAGCTGCATTTGCTATTTTTTTTTTTTTTGGAGAGGTTTTTGCTATAGGGCGCATGTGCTTGCCAGACAGACAGAGACAGAGAGACAGAAAGAGAGAAATCACCCCCCAGAGGGGATGGTCATGCTGCAATCTCTTATCCTCCATTCTCCTCTTGGGATCTTGGGCACACAGGCACACGCGCTCAGCGTGAGTTTTAAGGCACCGGGTCCGGGACGTGAACCACGGTTGGCTATGTGGGAGTCCAGTGACATGGCCATTACGTTAACTGCTGGTTCCCCAGCTGAACTTGCTATTGAAAGTAGTTAGATTAATTAAGATCTTTGGTAAATCATTAAAATGTGGGGCAGAAAGGCATGGAAAGCAACTACAGATACCAGAGACAGTGTAGGAGGAGGGAGGGAATCCAGGGAGGGAAAAAAAAAGCGAAATATTTAAAGAAACAAAAAATAGAAAATTATCTGTTGATGATAACAACAGATTTTATCTGTATGATAACATCTGTGGTTGAGTCAATATACAGTGTATTCTAGATGGAAAACCTCATTTGGGATGCTGTAATGATGTACAGTGAATTAATGTAAAATAAGTAATTTTTTTAAAAAAGAATGGGGAGCAGAAGGAGGGAAGGGGGAGCAAGGCAAAACATTTAATGAATACAAGAATGGAAAATTATCTGTTGATGACAATGTGTATTGCAGAATCTTTGACTGGACCAAAATACAATGTATTCATGCCGGGAAAGTTCATTTTATATGCTGTAAAGATATACAGCTATTAAAAGTAAAATTTTTTTTAATTTAAAGATAAAAATGAACAATGTTGAAATAATGTGTTTATTTTTAAATATTTCTGCCTGGCACCAGCTGAACTTGGTCAAAGTATTGATATGAGCCCTCTTCTGTTCCATTGTTGAGAAGTGAAATAAAACAACCAAAGATAACCTGTTACAACATAATGTACATTTACATGCTATTTTTAAAATTACACCACCAGAAGGTAGGTTCCATTATGTCTTGTATGTATTTGGTAAAATGGTCAGTTCCTCAATGAAGATGGACTCTAAGGGTCCATAGTATGAACTTTAATTAACACTACTTTTTCCAACTTGCCTCGTGAAGCCTTGGATGAGGCCCTTAATTTCCATCTATTTTGATAGCCTACCTAAACGGGTTCTCCAAGCCTCCTGGATCTTTTTGCACCAGGGCCGGGCCGCTCTAATGTTCCCGCAGATTTCGGACACAAACTCGACACCCACCAAACATCCGCCTGAGGGGTTGCTGGGTTGTGCTGTAAGTCCCGTGGGGCCGAGGAACAACAGCGCCTTGCTGCCGGGCACGCGCCAGAACGTCATTTCTATCTAAATGACTTATTTCAGACTGGTTTACAAATACATAAAGTTCTAAACTAAGTGGGATATGGACTACTCTGGTCTGCCTCTCTTAGGCAAGAACTTACTTTAGTGCTTCTGTGACCACACAGGCTGAGACACTCCTCCTCCAAGATGAGTCCTAGCCATAGGCTGCCCATGTGTCCTGGAGGTTCACAGGCCCGTGGCCCTGAAGCCTCTCAGTTATTCCACAGTTAACTAAGCAAAAGCTTACCTTTATGAGGAAGACGTGTGAGGAGGAATAAAACACTAAGCTATCAGAGGGCTAGTGTCAGCACCATACAACTTTTTCTCTCAATTTGCTTACATTTCCCTTGAAAGCCTTAACTAAGTTACGTGAAGGAGCTAGGCTTCATTCGTACCCAATTAGAGGCTGTTCTTTATAAGTAGTAAAATACTTGCTTTTGGAGAATTTTTTTATCTTTTTATAAAAGCCACGAATCATTCACACTTAGTCCTCTCTTCAAAGGAAGCCCCGCCCACAACTGCTTGCCGCTCCGCCTCCTCCAAGGTTACAGCCAGTCCCGTATTTGCTATTGTCGTGGAGGCAGAAGCTATCGCGAGATCCAAGTTGTCTCCTTGGGTGGCGACTGTGTAGACTTGCGCAGAAGAGACAGCTGAAGCCGGAGCAGCAAAAAGGGGGCGGGGCGTCCTGCGTGCGCGTTCACCTTGACCCCACGTTCTGGCGCGCGCCCGGCAGCAAGGCGCTGTTGTTTCTCGGCCCCACGGGACTTCCAGCGCAACCCAGCACCACCGCAGGCGGATGTTCGGTGGGTGCCGAGTTTGTGTCCGGAATCTGCGAGAACATTAGAGCGGCCCGGCCCTGGTGCAAAAAGATCCAGGAGGCTTGAAGAACCCGTTTAGGTAGGCTCCGGATTGATGAAAGGTCAGAGGTCAGAGGTCGGAGAGGGTAGACTGCGTTCCCTCGGGCCACTTAGAAAGGACTTGGATTGTCCCTTTCCTGGAAGTTGAAGAGCTGGGAGAGGCCCGCAGCGCTAGTCTGCACCGCTTCTCCATCCCAGAAGTGCCAGCCTCTGTTTTGCTGCGTCTCTCCGAAGAAGGTGGAGACCGTGAGAAAGAGGCTGTTTTTCTCCGGTGGACTGGGGCCTGCCGGGCATTGTTCCAGCGTCCACACTCCGTGCCGAGGGGCTGTCGCACTCCCCAGCCTCGCGGTGGCTGGTGTGCGGGGAGCGATCGGGCGCTGACCACCAGGCGCTGCCTCCCTGACCCGCTCCGCGGTCTGTCGGGAACAACCGAGTGGGTATCGCCTTTCGCCGCAGGTGTGCCCCTGCAGGCTGGATCTGCGCAGCGGTCTAGTTTCTTGGGGCACTGGGTTGTGTAAAAGGGGAGGCAGGAGCTTTTAAGGTAGCCTGACGGAAAGTTATCAGTTACCCCTGGTTGGAGTCTCAGATGAATCACGTTTGCATTCAAAACCAACCTGGCACGTTGTGCATTTGACTTGTGATACTTGCTGGATTTCTCAACTTAGATACGGCTGTTATCTGATGATTGACTGCTACAGTCAGATATACAGTATTAAGTAATGGCCATTAAGCTTCTGCCTTTTTTCTGAGAGGGTTGACAGTATCAAAAGGTAGAAATCCTAGATGTTTAATGTCATCCTACTTGTACTTAAATTAACTCAGTTGAGGTTTTAACTGAACAAAAAATTTTAAGTCATCATTACTGTTACTTTTAATTATTCCAGTGGGCGATAGCAAGAATGATGAAACTTCCTTGAATAGAAGTGATCCGTAGTAACTGAATTGTCACCAAAATGACTATTTGGTTGATGATCAGTATCTATGCTAGAAGCAAATCAGTGGTGAGCAGTAGTAGGGTTATTGTGTCTATGCTGGATAATTTGCACTTCCTAGAGCTTTGAAGGACCAACTAACCAATATGATAGCAGTTAAATATAATTAACTTTTTTTTTTTTTGAAAGGTTTTTGCTATAGGACTCGTCTTCTGGCCAGAAAGACAGAGAGAGACAGAGAGACAGGAAGCAAGAAATCCCCCCCCTAGGGGGAATGGCTATACCGCAATCCCTTCTCCTCCATTCTCCTCTTGGGATCTTGGGCACACATGTACATATGCCGGGTTTGAGTTTAAGCCACTGGGTCTGGGACTCTAACCACGGTCAACTACTTGGGAATCCAGTGACAAAGCCATTAATCCGTCTGTTGGTCCCAGTATAATTAACTTTAGAAACATGCTGTTCTGTGTCATCTATTGCTCTAAAAAACTGTACTTATAGAATTGTCTTTTAAAATCCTGGGTTAGAAAGATTGAGAGGAAATAGAATCTGTTGGCAAGAAATCTTATAAGGGCATTTTTCAAGTTTATGTAACTAACGTGTTTTAAATGAAAACACTCGTCTTGGAGCTATCACTACAGAAAAGGAAAACACTGTGGTAATGCTAGACCATTAAGAGCTTTTAAGTTCTAGTAGTGGTTAGACTTCACATACTTAAGGCATCAACCACCTTGGACAGCAAAAAGGCAAACACTCCTTATTGGCATTTATAGTCAGAACCCAGGCTAACCGTGGATTTGTCGTAAATCAGGGTTTATATGTGCCTTATGATGAAGAGAGAATTTGGAGAGGAAAATTTAGGTTTAATTTATATTTATTGTCTTAGTAACTTAACGTTTTAATATTAATTTTTCTAGCAGTCTATTTTCTGTTAAACCTAGAGTTCAGCCAGTTTTCTCTGCCTCATTCTGGCCCAGAAATAGTAAATAAGTTTCATATTACCCGAAGTCTTCTATTGTAGAATATGGGTGAAAGAGACTTCTCCAGAAAGACATATGAGTTAAAGTACTGTTATGTCTGTAAAAGGAGGGAAGATATTCAGGGAGTTGGAGGTCTTTGTTTCTCTTTCTTTTGCCTATTTATACCCTGGCACTCACCTGGCATTAAGGGTTCAGTGCTAAATAGGATAGTATTCCAGCCCAGCTTTCAGGTAGTGAACACTGCAGTAGTTTGATGGAGAGGGCCCTAATTCAGTTTCCCTGATCTTGGAAAGTTTTCCAGGGAAGACTGGGACAGACAAAAAAGTATGGAAGAAAACTTCAAGCGAAAGACTTTACATTTAAATGCAGGACGGTTAAAGCATGGTCTGTATAGAAATTTTAACATAATCATGTTTTATGCAAATGCTGACCAAGGAAAAGGAAGAAGTAGGACCATGGGAGGTGTGCTACATACAGTATTAAGAAAAGTAGGAGAAAGATGTAGGGATGGTTAGAGATAAGTATAATTTGACTACTGCTTGACTTAGTAACTGCCAGTTACCATTTTGTTCGTAAGTATCTTGGACCAGATACCTTTTTTGACTCTCTATGGATAAATATCCCTTAGGAAAAGAGTCAACCAAACCCAGATATTATTTATTTATTCACTCATTCATTCTTGATCACACGTGTTTGCTCATTTGAGAACTGGACAAATGGAGAGCCTTGCTAGAAATCCTGGTATTTACTTTTCTTCAGTTTATCACTGATAAATACCTTGAATGTCTACTTAGAATAAACAGGTTGAAAGCAAGCATCTACAGGAATGTGTAAATTGTAGTGGTATACATGAATTAAAGATACTGTTGAGTCATTAGAAAAGTCATGACTTGCTTTTCTACACAAAAATGCATCATGAGTGTTTTCCGACAACCCAGTAGATGGATCTTAACCAGAGAACATAATAAATAAGTGAAGGAATATGTTCTAGTTCTACTATAATTTATCTGTTACAAAATTGTTATTAGAAATGTGGCATGTATTACTTCTGTTCACATCCCACTGGCTAGAACTCGTGGTGGGCAACCCATTTTCCAACTATTTATAAGTTCAGAAAGAAAGAGACAGCTGATTATCTGAAACAAGGTTTCTCAAACTGGAATTTTTTAGGGAACCTAAAAAGTAACAGGGGTAGTGTCTGGTTCCGTGGATATTCTGACTTAATTGGATGGAATACTCCCAAAACTTCAGGATTTTCAGAAGTTTTTCATGTGATTCTTCTAATATGTAGCGAAGTCTACAATGTATTAATCTATCATCCCCCATTCTATCACATTAAAGTTCGGTTATTGTAAAATGTAATAAAAAGCATTCTTGGGATGATAATGGCAGCCAGCTACCACTAACTAAATACATGTAAATTTTGGTACCATGGTATTGTACTTAAATTATTTTTAACCACAATCCTGGTATCATCCCTATTTTAGAGATGAGAAAACTGGCACAAAAAGATAACTATTCCAATGCTATGCCAAAGCTGGAATTAAAATGTAAGTCTTCAAAGCTTATATTCTTTCCTCTTTCTCTCTCTCTCCCTTTTCCCCGACTCTCCCTCTCTCATAAAGGAAAAAAAGATGTGGCCATTTTATGAATATTGTTTCCCATTTGTGACTTGCCTTCTTAGTTCTGTAGTAGTATGATACCTTTTGAAAAGCCAAAGTATTGAATTTTGATGAAGCTTAATTTACTATTTTCTTACATGGTGTCTTTTTTCGTTTCCAATTTAAAAAAAAAAAATGTCACTTGAATTTTCTCTTCTAGAAGTTTTGTAGTTCTAGCTTTTGTATTTTAGTGTACAGTCTACTCTGAGTTAATACTTATATAAGTTATGAGATAAAGGTGAAGGTTAATTTTTTTGCATATGGATATTCATTTATTGAAAGGGATATACTTTCCCCATTGACTGCCTTTGAACTTCTTTTAAAAAAAAATCAATTGATCATACATGTGCATGTCTATTTTTTTGGTCGCATTGATTGTCTAAGCCAGAGATCTAGGGTTGATCCGGAGAAATGAACTGCTTTTTGGGAATTTAGTTGTGGCATGCCTTTCTGTGATTGTCCTTGTGTTTTTCTTGATTGGGTTTCATTGAACTTGGTTTTCTGCGTTGATAGTTTTTATTGGATATGGAAAATTTTTATAGATGACTTTTTTCAGATACACTTTTTTTTTTACCCTCTCCTCACTTTCCCCACTCAGATTCCAATTCCATACACGTGAGACAGCTTGACATTTTCCAGTCGGTCTCTGATACTGTGTGTATTATTCTTGTTTATTCCTATACTTCATTTTCAGTAGTTTATATTGTTACTGTGTTTAAGCTCATTCTATTTTTTTTCTTTTTTATATATTTATTTTTGGGGAATGGAGCATGTATAATCTATTAATCTTATACAATATATTTTTCATTTCAGATACTGTTTTTCGATCTCCAAAAATTCCTTTTGAGTCTCTTGTGTAGCTTCAATTTCTCTTCTTCATCCTCGTGTTTCTATTGACTTACCGGAATTTATCAAGACTATTTACAATAGCTGAAAATATTTACACTAGACACAAGGTGTGTATTTGCTAATTATATCATCTATTTTATTTCTGAGTCTTTTTGAGTTCTTTTTTCTGATAGTTCTGGGTCTTTCCTGTATCTTTGTATGCCTGGTTAGTTTTTACTTTGTACTAGACATTCATGTTAAGATTCTGTTTCATTCTTTCATGTGTTAGACTATGTCCTGAGTTACCCGGAATTAATTTGATCCTCCCAGAGCTTGTTTTTAAGGTTTATTAGGATGGGATCCGAACACAATATTTTGTAGTGTAACTTCTTAGTCTAGCCATTAGTCTAAGGCCAATTTGGGTTCAATAATAAGGAAGTTCTCATTTCTAAAACCTCTACACTTTGCATCCTATATTAGGAACGCTTTCCACAAACTATTCCCAGCCATGCCGGGGATTGTTCTACGTAATTCTGGTGGACGCTTCTTCAGCTTTGAATATTTTCCTCACACACAAATCTAAAGCTTTACCCTCTCAGAGACTCAAGGAATTCCTCTGCATATCTCTATAGCCCTTATATATATTGTATATTTCCCTCTTAGATATTTTGCTTCACAAAGTCTATATTCTATCTCCTTAACTTAAGAGAGGCCACTGAACTCTTGAATTTCTCCCATCCTCTGCTGTTTTTGGAAACTCCTTTCTAGGGATAAGCTGGAGTAAGGGTTCCCTGCTACCCTGGTTTGCCTGGGACTGAGGGGTTTTCCAAGATGTATCACTTTGATAACAGAAACAGAAAAGTCTCAAGCAAACTAAGAAGAGTTGGTTACCCTTTTGGAGACTGTAAAAGAATTTACCGAAGAATTTGTTTTACTTTATTCAGGGACACTGTTAGAATTTTTCTGCAGGTATACCCAATCTGCTATTAAATGACTGTGTTCTGGGTGTATTCTGCCAACTTTTTTTCTTTAAAATTTCAGTAATGTTTGCTTTTCTAAAATTATTTAACAGTTTTTTATAGCCATCTTTTTGTTATTACTTCCTGCTTTTATTTCATGAAAACACTGTTATCTACTCAAACATGATGATATTGACTATATGTAATAAGGTAAAGTCCTATTCATACAGCACCCTCTATTTTTTATTTGAAAGCTTTTCTTTTTTTAATTTATTCTCCCACTGGAGAGCTCTAAATTTTCTATTGTTGATTGTGAGCTCATCTTTTACAGTTCATATTCTCTGCTTCATTACAAGCAAGCTTTTATTGTCTCTGTCAGAGAATTGATACTCTCCATCGCAGCAACCTTGCCTTTAGAGGGACAGGGTAGGTAAGGGCCTGGCAGTTTTCACCATATTACTCCACTATTATCTGTCATTGTGATCTTGACCCATTTGGATTATACCACCAAGTTCACCACTATTGAGCAGAAAAACCATCTTGATATATGCTTATCTTTTGTACTAATACATTTACACTGACATTTAGCTTTTCTGTCTGATTTTCCTCCATATTATTCTTTAGTAATACTCAAAGTTTTTGATCAGCTGAGTAGTTCTGTTCTGTTTTGTTTTGTTTTAAATAGGTCTGAGTATTCCTGAATGGTTTCTTTAGCACTCATTTCTCATTCTTTTCTAGATTTGGAGCAGAGCAGTTCTGAGTGGGGAGTTAGTTGGGGTAGAGGGTGTAGACCATTCTGTGTGCTCAGTTTATAACAACAACAGCAAACTCTATTCTTTGTGTTGAATTAAGAGTTCAAATTTATACTTCTTTCATATCCTCCCCTAAGCAATAGCACTTTGCTAGGTACTTAGTGGAGTCCATATTTACCAAATTCCTGATTGAATTTTATTCAGCAATGAAATTATTGAGAATGCTTCTTAAACTGCACATTAAGCTAAATTTTAATTTGTATACATCCATTTTTTTCCATCACTAGGCTGAAATAGCCACCAACCATTGCTGTAACCTTATTTTCGATCTCCATAAGTTGTTCTATATTTCATACAGGAATTGGCTGTTGTTTTGAGGGAAGTATACTTTGGGGCTTACTTTGTATAGGGGATGATTTCTGCCCAATTTCCTCTTTTGAAGTAACCAAGCTTCCTTTCCTTTTTTGCTACATATTTTTCTTTCTCTTCTTTCATTCTGTCTCAGCTGTATTTCCCTTAGTGATCATCACCAACTTATTTTTTGCCCAGCTATTCCTCTTAAGGTTTTTATCTGCTAGTCATAAAACAAAATATATTTCTATTGATTTATTTGCTCCTGTTGCGAAAAAAGATATGGAGTTTATGCACAGGTCAAGTGAAGTTTTATTAATCCTTTGAGATTGTAAAATAAATAGAAATTCAAGTGATGATATGAGTACAAATGTTACTACAACCCTTCAAATAAGTGTTTCAAAGCCATTTCAAAGCCTTACCTTGCTATCATAGCTTATTAAATATATTTTTAGAATTTATTTTATACAACAGATCACTTTTACCAAATTTATATGTTACAGACCAATAAAATCAGTAAAATTTATTTGATACATGTATGTTGAGTATGTTTCTTATCTATATTTGACTTAATAAAAAAAGAAAATATGCATTGCCTTTTATTGTCTCTAAAGATTTCATGTTATATGTAGGGACTATGAGTAGGAACCACGAGTATATGCTAAATTTCTCATCTGGCAATATTTAATTACTAAAATACCTCTCTTGGTATGCTTACTGTTGCTGTTGTCTTCCAGAGTTCACATTTACCAGAAAAAACTTGAAAATGAGTAGCCGACGGAAACGTGCTCCTCCAGTGAAGATGGATGAAGAAAAGCAGCAGCAGCTTCGTTGGAACATGTATGAGGACAGGAGGAATGAACCTCTCACCTTAAGCGATGATGAGCACTCCTGCCCCGCTGCAGACTCCTCTTCTGCTGACTGCATCATCCTAGAAGATCATCTAAAGGAAGAAGTGGCTTACAGAGATAAGTGTTCAGAGGAAGTGTGCCTCTCAAAATCAATTGAAAAAGAAGAGTGTATTGGTACTTTTTCCCCTTTGTCTGTGAAGTTGAATATTGTGATTTCTCCCCATCATGCTGATAATTCTTGGAAAGCATTTCTAGGAGAATTAACTCTTCAGCTTCTTCCTGAACAGAATTTAATTGAAAATTTTTCTGAAAGGAGTTTTACATTGATGAGTTCAGGGTCAAAAAGTCAGTTCCTGATCTATGTTCACTCAAAATCTGAAGATGTAGAAAAACAGGAAAAAGGACTTGGAGAATCAGTCGATATTTGTGACATGGGTATTCAAGTGGAATCATCCGTCAGTGATGAAATGTTAGAAGATTTGGGGTGGCTGCAAAAGAAAAGAAGAATAAAACTTTACCAAAGACCTGAAGGAAATCACATTATCAAGGTACTTCATTTTTGTGTTATCTTTTAAGGTTCTTCTACATTGGCAGTCCATTTTGAAGTAACTAGAAAGAAGGTAGAAAAAGCCAGCAATACATTAAGTTTCAAAACATATTTTCTTTTGGGCTTATAATAACTATTAAAAAATATGTGTTTTAGCTAATTATTTCTAGAATGTACTTTGTGAAGGATATCTTTCGGATTCTTTGTTTTCATCTTAGCAACTTCATTTCATCCTCATCATCTATTCCTCTTACTAGAGCAGTCTTTTCACTACTTCTCTTTCTGATCTTGCTTTTTCTTTCTTTTTTTAATTTTTAATCAATTAACTTATTTATATTCATTCCCTGAGCATCGTCACAGCAAACAAAATGTGATTTCCCATCCAAAATAATACTGCATAGTGGTTTAATCATACATGTTATCATCAATAATTTTCCATTTCTAGTTTTATATATATGTGTGTGTGTGTGTGTGTGTGTGTGTGTGTGTTCCTCCTATACTACCTCAGGTGTCTATAGTTGTTTTCCATTCTTTTTTCCCCCCATATTTTATTGATTCACAAAATTTCTTAAATAATCTAACTATTTTCAATAGCAGGCTCAGCTGGTATATACATATCTGTGAATACATGTCTCACTTTAAGTGTGAAACTTTGAGTAAAATGAATATATTATAAAGTAGCACCTAGTTGATGCTATATAGCTTACTACAGTTATTAAATAGGTATTTTTTAATATATTTTTTTCATTTCAAGAAAAGCAATTTTAGCTTTAATAAATTGAAGAAATGCTAAGGAACTTTGCTTAAAACTTAGAGCCAGGAAACATGTTAGGATTCTGTTCAAATAGTAGGTACATGAACCTATTGCTGGCTAAAAACAGGACACAAGTCCTTAAAACTGGAAAACAAAGCCTAGAAGAAAATCAGCAATGTTTTAGTCAAAAGTCATAAAATTCTATTTCACCAGTTCAGTCTCATGTACTTAATCTATCTTCTGTTGTGGTTCAATCTTCCTGATTAAATTCTAGTATATAATAATCAACTCCAGACTTGTCACTACCATTAAGTTGGCCATTTTCTTAGTTTTTGAACTCTTATTTCTGTGTGTCTCTATTTAATTTTCCTCCTATAGCACTACCCTGAGAACTTCTTAGAGAGCTGGTCTGGTGTTAGTAAATTTTTTTAGGTTTTGTTTATCTGAGAATGTTCTTATCTTTTCTTCCCATATGAAAGATAATCTTTCCGGGCACAGTATTCTTGATTGAAACCGCTTTTCCCTTAACACTTTGAATATATTTTACCATTCTTTCCTTGCTCACATTTCTGATAAGAGGTCCACTGTTAGCCTGATGGGGTATCTTTTGTAGGTAACTTGACTTTTCTCTCTTGCCAATCTTAGTATCTTGTCATTATCTTGTGGTTTTGGTCAATCTGGCTATAATTTATCTTAGAGAAGATCTTGGGTTGATTCTGTTTGGGTTCCTTTGTATTTCTTGGGACTGGATCTTTGAATGCCTCTCTAGGTTTGGAAAGTTTTCTTGCAGGATTCATGGAATAGATTATCAATGCCCTTTCGAGTCTGTGCCTTCTGGGATACCAATTATTCAGATGTTTGGACATTTGATGGTATCTAGTATTTCTCGTATATTATTCTCATTTTGGGGGGCAATTTTCTCAGTCTTGGTGGATTTTTGAGACCAGCAATTCTGTCTTCTACATCTGGGATTTGATTTTCTGTATGATTTAGTCTGCTTTTAATACTTTCAAGGGAGGTTTTGACTTTCTGTATTATAGCCTTCATCTCTAACAGGTCCATTTGATTATTTTTTATAGCATGTATTTCCTCTTTTAGATCGTGCAAGAATTTCTTCACCTCCTGGAATTCATTAGCTCCTTTCTCCTGCCTCTTCTGCAGTTCATTGTCTCTCTTCTCTTCCATCTCTGTTAGCTTTGACACTATGAATATTCTAAATTCTTTATCAGACATTTCCATGAGTTTCATTGTGCTGTCTGGGGATGAAGAGGAGTTATTTTTTCCCCTTGAAGGAGAGATATTTTCTTGCTTTCCCATGTTTCTTGTGACCCTGCAGTGATTTCTAGTCATCTGATGGATGGTGCAATTCTTCGTAATTCTTGAAGTTCAATCTGAGCATTCAGAGGCGTGCAAGAGGAGGTGATCTGTAAACTCTCTTCCATTCCGTTTTCACTCTTTGTGCTTCAGATTCAGTGGGAATAGAGAAATATTCTGACCCTCATTGTATTCAGATGTTTGGGTCCTGTTCACTTGGACCTGTCTAGACACTTAGTGCATAGAGGCCACTAGAAATGAATCTGGAGGGAGAAGTCTCTGCAGAAAGTCTTCATTTTTAGTCAAGGAAACCATTATTTCATAGCTCAAGTTTGGTATCCATCTCATGATGGGCCTGGAGGTATGCCTTTCCCACTAGAAATTAATCTGGAGGGAGAAGTCTCAGCAGAAAATCTCTAATCTTGCCTTTTTAAATCCCTCATGACTTGGTCCCAGGAATGGAATGTTATGAATGTAAACAGAATTCTATTCTTTACTGTCTGCAGAGTTAAGTATAATTTTTCTAATCATACATACAAATCTCTCTTTCAGTAGGCCCCCTTTTATTCCCCCCCCTTCAGAGAGATTTTTGCTATAGGGAAAACGTGTTTGCCAGAGAGACAGAAAGCAAGAAATCACTCCCCAAGTAGGGGTGACCACATCACAGTCCCTTCTACTCCATTCTCCTCTTGGGATTTTGAGCATGCGTGCACACACGCCTGGCATGACTTTTAAACTACAGGGTACAGGACTCAAACCATGTTCAACTATGTGGGAGCCAAGGATGTGACCATTCCACCATCTGCTGGTCACTTAATAGGTCCTTTGTCTTTATCATTTATTACTCTTTTTATTTTGTCCCAGAAACTTAATTTGTTTCTTTCAGATAACCCGCTGTCTTTCTTGCTTTTGCTTTCACAATTCTCTCTTTCTGGATTGTTCATTTCTTTTTCCTAGTTTATCCTATATTATTGAGTTCAGAGTTTACTTTCTCCAAGGACGTGGTTTTCTTTTTTTGGAGAGGTTTTTGCTATAGGGCACATGCGCTCGTCAGACAGACAGAGACATAGAGATAGAAAGCGAGAAATCATCCCCCAGGGGGGATGGACACGCTGCAGTCCCTTCTCCATTCTCCTCTCGGGATCTTTGGCATGCATGCACACGGCCGGCATGAGTTTTAAGCCACCGAGTCCAGGACGCAAACCGCGGTTGACTACGTGGGAGTCCAGCGACATAGCCATTATGCTAACTGCTGGTTCCCTCCAAGGATGTGTTTTTAAACCGCATTGGTGACATTACATTGCCTTCCTCCCAGAATATGAGATACAAATTTTTACTTTTGCCCTGGCCACTTGTAGTGTTCTTGTATTTTAGATTTTTACGCCTTATTAGACTATAAAGACTTTTATCTTTACAGCCCAATAAATGATTTGGTACCTAACAGATTTTTAGTTCATAAATCAATAAATTTGTAATTCATTTTAGGCTCTGCCGTTCACAAACCAAATAATACGAATCATTTAAGTGATCTAATTTCAGTTTCTTTCCGTATGAAATATAAATAATACCCATCCTTCTTACCGTATAGAATTGAGTTCAAAACAGGTGAGATAGTGTTAAATAAATGTTAAATAAATGTATTAAATAGTTTTAAATAAATAAATTTTCCCAGGAAAGTCATGATGTAATTTGCTATGTTATTGTGTGCAAAAATACATCATAACTTTTCTGATGACCCAATGCTTGGTAGACTATGAAACAATTTAATTTGTCTTCATAGTAAAACTTGAAAGGTAAAGAAATTCTGGGTTTTTGTTTTTGTTTTTTTATAATTTGCTATAAGGCACATGTGCTTGTGAGAGAGAACAAGAGAGAGGGGGGAAATAAGAACCTCCCCCCCATGGAGGATCATACTGAAGTTCCTCCTCTATTACTCATTTCAGGATTTTGTACTCACATGCACAGGCACCTGATGTGTTTTTCAAGTGGCCAGGTGCAAGACTCGAACCATGTAGTTGGCCATCTGATGTGCAACTGTCTCAGCCACCATACCACTGTCTGGCCTGCCTGAAATTCTAAAATGTTAATCTCACTTTTTAACTGAAAAACTATCTCTTAAAACATTTTTTATATTAAAAAGCAATTGCATCATGGCCCTATTTAAAATTTCAGAATTAACAGAAAGAAACCAAATTTAGAAGCATTAGATTGCAGTTAATTCTTCTAAACAATAAAACCGTAGCCAAACATTCCCACTTTTTACAGATAGTACGTAGCAAAACTGTGGTTCAGTGATAATAAGTACATAAGAATTCATACCTTGTATATCTTTGTTTTATTTACCTCCCCTACAAACCAAGTCTTGATCTATTATTTTTCCCTGATCCCAATTTTTATAAAGATTTGAATATTTATTTCTGCTATAGTAAGCCATCTCCAGGTGAACACAAAGCAGAGTTACAAATAATAATGAAGTATGATCATTGTCACTTACTCTTGTGTAATGCTAGTGATTTTTGTTATTTATTTATAGGGGAGGTAAATAAAACAAAGATAAATAAGGTGTGAATTCTTACATACTTATTATCATTGAACTACAGTTTTGTTACATACTATTTTATTTATTATTTTCTGTGATTTTTTAAAAAATTGATAGGCTTTCTCAGAACAATTTTAGGTTTAGAGAAATAGCAGAGAGAGAAGATTTCCTATATTTGATATACTATCTCTCGTCATCTCATATATTTCCCCTAATTTTTAAACTTTTTATTTTTATTTATTTATTTTTTTTTACATTTAATCACTACATTTTTACAGTGTATAACATGGTTTTCCCAGTGTGATTACAGTGCATATTGGTCAAGTCAGAGACATTATCATATATATTATCATTAACAGATAACTTTTCATTTTTGTTCTTTAATAAAAGAATTTGAGAATATTAGTGAGTCAAGTCTAAAAAATAGTCCAGGGAAATGAAGGACTCTAACATTTGTTGACTGTCTATAAGAAATATTTAAAATTATACTAATCATACTATACTCCTACACTTTATAAATGAGCATTGAATAAAAATAATTTGATTATTTCTTCCCAAGTTTGTTTAACTCTTGAATATCCGTACCAATGTTTAAATTCAAGTATGTTGACCTCAAAACTTCATACTGCATTGCTTCATTACAGTCAAGATATTTAACACTAATCAAGGTCTTTTTTCCTATACAATTTAGTGTTCGACCCAGTAATAAGGATTTTCACACCTAACTGCTTAAACATCCTGGCATGTGCTTCAGAATCTTCTAGGGGAATCCTCATTTTTAACAGATTTTACTGATTATTTTGATCAGATTTGAGTATCACTGATTTAGTAGGTAGAATTAGGTGTTCTTATCATATTCTCCCAGGTTTGATTTCAATTAGGGATTTTTTTTTCCAACAAATTGAGTGGGATATTTCACATCGCAGATACTTGCATTTGTGAAATAAAATTGTTGAAAATTAAAATAGGTGGAGATTTGATAGTAAATATTTAGTGTTTGTAGAACAGATACTGTGAATACCTTTTTAAATGGTCATGCTACTTTTTTTTGGTAAAGAGTATACATTTAAGTATAAACTGCTATGTTGATTAATCCTTCATAGGTTGGAATTTATCTTTTGGAAGCTGGCCTAGCAAAACTTGACTTTTTCAGTGATGCAAATTCGAGAATGAAAAAGTTCAATCAGCTCATGAAGAGAGTAATGGAAAAGCTATATAATTTTATTATTCCAGGTAATTTTTAAGTAAACTTTAAAACTGCTATTATTAAGGTCTCTCTTTATTTTTTTTTCCTGTCTTCTAGTCCTAACAATTAGAGAAATGGCCAATAAAACCATATAAAAATTAAATGACCTCCATAAAATCACCCTATGGCAGAATTATCCTTACCTAAAATGCCCCGACTAATATAATTTGTTTCTTCACTTTTGCATAACATTGTATTTAGCTTGTGATAAGTATTAAATAAATGTTTGTAGAGTAAATATGCGACATTATTTCTGTGCTTTTATTTGATGAGGGCAATAGATTCTTTGCTAAGCTTTATTCTACCTCTCCTTTGTAGTCTGACAGAGCCTGGTTCTATAAAAAAACAGATAACTGGGACCAGCAGAAGGCTTAATGATTCACTAGACTCCCACATAGTCAACTGCAGTTTGAGTCCCACATTGGTGGCATAAAACTCAGTCTAGACACATGTGTATGCATACCCAAAATCCCAAGAGGAAATTAGAGAAAAAAGGATTGCAGCAGGGCCATCCCCTCTAGGGGGTAATGTCTTACTTTCTGTTCCTCTATCTCTCTGTCAAGCACCTGTGCTTTATAGCAAAAATTTCTCTCTAAAAAAAACCAGATCACTTTGCTCTGCTTTTTGGCACGATGTAACATCCTTGATCAGGGCTGCAGTTTCAGATTTTTTGCACTTAATTACCAATAGAGCATGAGAGGTTTTTTGTAGCCCATCAACACTATTGGAAAGACAGCTTAAATTTTGAGTCCTTTTCATGGTGGGTCAGCATTAGTCCAGGTACAAATTTTAGAACATTTTTATACTGTAATTTATTAATGAAAACAGTTTTTTTTTTTTTTTTTTTTTTTTGAGAGAGATTTTTCACTGTAGGGCGCGTGCGCTCGCCAGACAGACAGAGAGAGACATAGAGACAGAAAGCGAGAAATCACCCCCCAGGAGGGATGGTCACGCCGCAATCCCTTCTCCTCCATTCTCCTCTCGGGATCTTGGGCATGCACGCACACGCGCCCGGCGTGAGTTTTAAGCCACCGGGTCCGGGACACGAACCGCGGTCGATTACGTGGGAGTCCAGCGACATAGCCATTACGCTAACTGCTGGTTCCCAATGAAAACAGTTTTAAAGCTTGGCTGTTGAGAAACTCTTTTTTAAATTTTTTTTAGAGGTTTTTTGCCTTAGGATACATGGGCTCATCAGAGAGAGAAACAGAGACAGAAGAGGAAAAATGAAAACTCCCCAGGGGGATGGACACACTGCAGTGCCTTCTCCTCCTGGGGTTTTTGGACATGCACACACATGTGCCCAATGTGAGTTTTAAGTCACCAGGTCTGGGACTTGAACTGTGTTGTGCCCAATGTGAGTTTTAAGTCACCAGGTCTGGGACTTGAACTGTGTTGAGCTATGTAAGAATCCAGCAATATAACCATTATACCACCTGCTGGCCCTGATTGTTGAGCAATTCCTGTAGTATATTCTTTGCAAAACTTCAAGGCTTAAGTTGAGGAAGATCTCTTATTTTAGCATTAGAAGGAATGTTTTTTTTTAAATTTTGGAGGGAGAGACTTTTTTGCTATAGAGCATGTGCACTCATCAGAGAAACAGAGACAGAGAGAGAGAGAAAGCAAGAAATCACCCCCGAGGTGGGATGTCATGCCACAGTCCCTTCTCCTACATTCTCCTCTTGGGATTTTAGGCACACACACACGTACACACATATCTGGTATGAGTTTTAAGCTGCTGGGTCCAGGATGTGAACTATGGTAAATTGTGTGGGAGTCCAGCAACATAACCATTACACCACCTGCTAGTCCCAGAAGGATTGCTTTTTTCATTCATTCATTGATTCATTCATTTATAGCAGACAGAGACAGAGTGAGAGAGAAGGGAAAATGAGAAAGCAAGCCACCAGGTCTAGGACTCGAACTGCTATCTGCCATTTGGGCCAGCTCCTTTAATTACTACCTGCTGGCCCAGGATTGCTTTTAAAAATACATCTAGAGTTTTTGCCAGGTTCATGTGCGTGTGTACCCAAGATCCCGAGATGAGAATAGAGGAAAAAAGCAGCATGGCCATCCCCACAGGAGGGTGATTTCTCGCTTTCTGTATCTCTGTCCCTGTCTGTCTTTCTGATGAGCTCATGCACCCTATAGCAAAAACCTCCCAGAAGGAAAAAAAGTACATCTAGAGTTTTTAAAGGTACATTAAGAATTCCATTATTAATACAATTTGAACTTTTTTAAAGCATGATTTCTTTTTTAAAAAAAATAATTTGATTTTATTTATTATTTTTAATTTGACCAGAAAAGGAGGCAGTCGGGGGTGGGGGGGAGACAGAGAGGGAAAGTGAGAAAGCAGGCTGCCAGGTCTACAACTTGAACCATGGTCAACCATGTGGGAATCCAATGCCCTTAACCACTACACCACCTGCCAGCCCCTAAAGCATGATTTCTAAGGAAAATTTCAAATTCAGTTAATACTAGATTATACTGGTATGTATTAATAAAAGTCTGAAATAATCGGGCATATAACTGTACATTATTTGTGAAGTTTTAAAAATTTCAAATGGCATATTTTTTTTACTAGAAAAAGTAAGTTATGTGTTTTTTGGTTCAATTTTTTCATTTTAGACCTGATGTAGTATGTCCTGAAAGTATATGGCCTGAATGAAATGCAATTCAAAAATAAATGGTTCATTTTTTCATCTTGAAAGAATTATGCTCTGGATAAAAAATCATTAGTTGAAAGGAATTTATATTTGTTGAAGGTTTATATTTATTTTTCCTATTAGAATAAAAATAGGTCTTCTTCCACAGAGTAATTTTGTCCACTGAATAAATTTGATACTCTTTCAGGTTTGCATTAGTAGCTTTAGCTTGTGTCCCATGATCAGCTGCTGAGTGCAACCAAATGCCTTTCATTCTTTTGCATAAGAAATAGAATGGAGGGGCCAGCAAGTGTGTGGTGATTACGGCGCTCTACACCACAGGTTATGTACTGGATGCGGTGGCTTGCTTTCTCACTTTATTTCTCTTTCTCTTGCTCTGTCTGTCTCTCTCTCTCTCTGGTGAGCACACATGCCCTATAGCAAACTTAAAAATAATCACCTTAATAAATGAATAGTTAAAAATGAGTCAGCAGGTAGTATGGTGGTTGAAGCACTGGGCTCCCACTTGGCAGACTACAGTTTGAGCCCCAGACCCAGTGGCTTTCTTTCTCACTTTCCCTTTCTCTCTCTGTCCCTCTCTAGTACATTGAAAAATAACAATAATAAATAAAATTAAGTAATGATTTTTTAAATAATTAAAAACAAAAGAAGTAGAGTAGGAACCCTCATCCTAAACACCGAAAATTTTTATCTGTTTATCGTTTGTTAGGTTAAGATATAAAAAATGGGGACCAGCAGCTGGCGTAATGACTATGTCACTGGACTCCCATGTAGACGACTACAGTTCGAGTCCTGGACCCAGTGGCATAAACTCACACTGGGCTCGTGTGCGTGCATGCCCAAGGTCCCGAGAATGGAGGAGAAAGAATTGTGGCATGGCCATCCCCTCCTGGGGGATGATTTCTCTCTTTCTGTCTCTCTGTCCCTCTCTGTCTTTCTGGTGAGCAAACATGCCCTGTAGTGGAAACCTCTCCAAAAAAAAAAAAAAAAGATATAAAAATGAAATAAGCAGGACCAGCAGGTTCTGTGGTGATTAAGGCTATGGTTTGAGTCTCAGACCTGGTGGCTTGCTTTCTCACTTCCCCTCTCTCTCTCTTTTTTTCTGTCTGGTGAGGACATGTGTGCTCTGTAGCAAATTAAAAATATACATAAAATTAAATAAATTCTTTCTTTTTTTTTTTTTTTTTTTTTTGAGAGGTTTCTGCTATAGGGCATGTGCACTCGTCAGAAAAACAGAAAGCGAGAAATCACCCCCTAGGGGGGACGGCCACACCGCAATCCCTTCTCCTCCATTCTACTCTCAGGACCTTGGGTATGCATGCACACGCACCCAGTATTAGTTTAAGCCACCAAGTCTGGGACTCGAACCACAGTCAACTACATGGGAGTCCAGCGACATAGCCATTATGCCAACTGCTGGTCCCAAAATTAAATAAACTTCTAAAAAAGATTTTTAAAGCAAAATAAGCTATCCATTAATAAACTACAAAAGAAATTCACATTCAGTTTCTCAAATTAAATATCCACTGTAGGAAAAGGGTATATCAGTTTCTCTAAGGGGCTATCAAAACAGAAGACAACATTGCCCTCATTGTAAAAAGGACAGATAGACAAATTATTCAGTAAAAGATTGATTGAAATGTTCTTCTGTAACCTAATTATAAAACATTATGTGAGGCCCAGCCATGGCGGTGTGATACTGTTCAATAATGAAAGTCATATAGATGATCAGAGTTTGGTTCCTAGGTCAACCTGTATACATTTGGTACATGTGTACATGCCCACGATCTTGTCTGGCAGGTAGAGTGTTGAGGGGAAGGATCACAGTATAAAACTCTTAATTGAGGGTACTGGTGTCTCTCTGCGCCTCCCCCCACCATCTTTCTCTCTCTTTCTATTTTTCTCTCACTTTCTTTCTTTCATAATTTTTTTATAAAGTATTACATGAGCACTGGGAACATTAATTCTAGTGAGGGTAAAGAAACAAAAGAAAAGTTCATGGAAAAAGTAGCTATTGAACTATCCTAAAGAAGACATGAGTAGATTTTTTTTTTTTTTTGGGAGAGGTTTTTGGCTATAGGGCGCGTGCACTCACCAGACAGACAGAGAGAGACATAGAGACAGAAAGTGAGAAATCACCCCCCAGGGGGGATGGTCACGCCACAATCCCTTCCCCTCCATTCTCCTCTCAGGATCTTGAGCATGCACGCACACGCGCCCTGCGTGAGTTTTAAGCCACCAGGTCCAGGACGCGAACCGCGGTCAATTACGTGGGAGTCCAGCGACATAGCCATTACGCTAACTGCTGGTTCCAAGAAGACATAAGTAGATTTTGATCAGTGAATTTTAAGAATGGTGCCTTCTAATCACAGACAACTGAATAATCCCCATGGTTGGGCAAGAACACAGTATATTCTTAGAATAAGAATAAATTGGGACCTGATGTGGTAAAATGTAATATTCTGCTAGGCTGACCCACGTGGGAAGGTTTGGAGTTTGCATCCAGGTGTCTCCCTTAGTACCCAGCCATGTGCATGCCCATGATCTGGACTGGCTGAGGCTGGAAGTATATTGCAATATTGGGACCCTTTTGTTTTGCGGGCAGGGGAATTCTTTCTCATTCACTCATAAAAGAAAGAAAATGAACTTAATAAAAGAATTGCTTTCAGTTGTAAAAGTTGAATCAGATTTTAAGCTCATTTGTTGTTGAATATACAGACATGTTGGAAGAGGATCAGGAAGATTCAGAGAACGAGCCAGAGGGCCAGGACATTGATGAGCTCTATCACTTTGTGAAGCAGGCACATCAGCAAGAAACACGGTCTGTCCAAGTGGATGTCCAGCATCCTGCACTGATGCCTGTGTTGAGACCCTACCAGAGGGAGGCTGTCAACTGGATGCTGCAACAAGAGCATTTCAGAAGCACTCCTGCTGGTGGCAAGTATAAGATGCTTAAAGAAAGGCAAATTGACTATGGAGAGTATACGAGAGCTAGTATAGGATAGAGGAAGTTGAACATTAAAGAAAGGTACATTGAAAACATCCAATAAAATGGGTGTTAACTATGAACAAAATTATTTTCTAAAAAAAATCCTTCAAAACTGAAATCTAGAAAAATTCACATGTTAATTTGCTCATGTATACAAGTTTGAACTGGGTTTTGTTTTGTTTTGTTTGAGGGAGGTATTTTCCCTCCTTGATTGGAAGTTTTAAAAACCTAGACATTCATTCATTTATGTTTTCAGCTAAGAATTGCTTTTAAAACTTTATCATATGGGGGGATAAGCAGTTGGCATAATAGCTATGTTCCTGGACTCCCATGTAGTCAACCACAGTTCGAGTCCCGGACCCAGTGGCTTAAACTCACACTGGGCACATGTGTGTGCATGCCCAAGATCTTAAGAGGAGAATGGAAGAGAAAGGATTGCGGTGTGGCCATCCTCCCTTGGGGGTGATTTCTTGCTTTCTGTCTTTCTGTCTCTGTCTTTCTGGCGAGCACATGCACCCTATAGCAAAAAAAAACTTCATCACATGGGAATCTTGCTAATTATCAGCAAGAAAGTACTTTTCACAATTTGATGATGAATCTTAGTGACAAAAAGCAAATTTCCAAAAGTGAGAGGCAGACATGTGACTAATCTAATTTTCTTAGACTTACATGTTTTTCTTTATCACACAATACAAATAATGTCATTTACTGAGTGTTTTTATGAAGGTAGTAGATTTGTGGGAGACATTTATGCTATTTCTTTATCACTGTCTTTAAAGGAACAGGCACAAGGTACTTTTTTTTATGTGATTCTAAGTAGTGAAGTATTGCCTAGTTCTAATTCCTTCTATAGATGTTTATTTAGTTGGTGAGGAATAGCTCTTACCTATTTTTCCCGTGTGATCTATTTTACACTTTCTTACCTAACAAACTTAAGTCATCTAAATTTTTCAATTTGGACAATTAGTATCAATTCATAGCCAATATTTTGTTCCTACCCTTCCTGTCCCCCTGCTCTGACTTATTTGGAAATAAATTCTATATACTTACTTTATATATAATATTTCAATTTTTTAAAAGATAAAGATTCTTTCTCACTTTCTTCTCTCTCCTTTCTCTCTCTCTCTCCCTCTCTCCCCCCCTGTCTCTCTGGCAAGTATATGCACTCTAAAGCAAAAACTAAAAAAGGAAAGGAACAGGGAGGATTCTTTTAAGTAGATATAAAAATATATATAATAATGGATTATTTTTGAGAGAAATTTTTCCTTTTTAGGGTACTTGTGCTTGCCAAAGAGACAGCAAGAAATCACCCCCCTGGGGGCTGGCTGAGCCATAATCCCTTCCCTGCCATTCTCCTCTTCAGATTTGGACACTCATATACGCCCAGTGAGTTTCAGGTTCCCGGTCCCTGAACTCAAACGTTAGTCTGCCACATGGGAGTCCAGTGCCTCACTACGCCACCTGCTGGCATATAAAAATGGATTTTTAAAGCCCAGTAAGTCTTGAATATCACCAAACCTGTTTCCATCCTTCCTTTGCTTCCTCTCTCTCTCCTTTCCCTCCCCTCCACTTCTCTTTTTTTTCTCTCTCTTTTCCTTTTACACACATATATAGTTCAGATCTGAAACCAAGTAACATTTGCACATTGGAACTGGTTGTTTTTACTTAAGTTGTTTTGTTTTTTGTTTTTTTTTTTTAGAGAGATATTTTTCTGTAGGGTGTGTTTGCTCACTGGAAAGACAGAGACAGAGAGGCAGAAAGCAAGATATCACCCCGGCCCAGGGAACATAGCTAAAATCCCTTTACCTCCACTCCCCTCTTGGGATTTTGGGCATGCACACACAAGTGCCTGGCATGAGTTTAAGCCTCCAGGTCCAGGACTTGAACTGTGGTTGACTTTGTGGAAGTTCAGTGATACCATCTGCTGGTCCCTGTTGCTTAAGTTTTTTATTTGTAGGTTTTATGTCCTATCTCTCACTCTATTTTTTTCCTTAAAATGATTTGTTAAGAGAAATTGTTAACTTTATAGTTTCCCACAGACTAGATTATGCTTTTCTCCAAAATGATGTATTTTTCTGTAGTTAAATAATATTATTAATAAATTAATGTTAAGATATAGAACTAGACTGTCTCAAGAATATCCACTAAACACATGCTTTTGAGAATTAAAATGTGGTTGCCCAAATTGAGTTGTACCTTAAGGTTAAAATACGTACTAATTTTCAAATCATGAATAAGTATCTCATTTGTAATTTTTTATAATGATTACATATTGAAATGATAATATTTTGGTTAGATCGAAATTTTTTTAAGTACTTAAAATTAAACTTTGTTTCTTTTTTTATATACTACTAGAAATTTAAAATTACATATGTGGCGCATATTATGTTTTTGTCAGACAGTGTCTGACGTAGTGTTTCCATCACCCGACAGTTCCCTCATAGCCCAGTTAGTTCTCCTACTTCAGCCCATTCTAAAGGTAGCCACTGTCATCATAAATTGGTTTTTGTCTGTTTTTGAAACTAAAAATTAAAACAACATATTTGTACACTTTGAAGGGAGTGGGAATTGCTTCTTTTAACATAATAGCTTTAAGTATATACATGCTGCAAAAATCAGTAATTCATTCTTTTTTGTCTTCAGACTAGACTTTGTTGATTAAATCTTTGTCATTTAGCAGATTTTTTGTCCCTATGGTTCCGAAAATTGAAAATTCTTATCATTTATTTTTTTCATTTTATAAATGCTTTGTATCTATTTACATATCTCTATTTCCTCAGTTAATCCCTAAAGAAAACAGTGAAAAATTACTCGCTGTTCCACTAGTGAATAGAGATATGTTATCTATTTGGCAATTGGCTTAAACAAGTTAAAATATTAAGTAGAAGGGTAAAGGAAGATTCTAATTGAAACAAACTCAGTACTTCAGTATTGAAGTTTTAGATATTATTTCCCCTCTAAGCCTTTCCATTCACTCTCGTACCCATAAAAGAGGTCAGATCTTACATGAGTAAATGTTTAGCTCACTAGCATTTGTCTAGCTATCTGAAGGGTTCATACAGACTATTGAAGGATTTACAAAAGATAAGCTTTTTCCCTTTATCAGGAAGGAGTTGGTTATATCTGTTAGGTTTTTTCTTGTTAATCCTCTGTAACATGCTGCATTTTGCTTTCCTGTCTTATTAATTCTTACGTGGATTTGTGCCTAAAGCAAAGGAAGCAAAAAAGATATCAGAAGAAAAGAATTAGAGGGATCTTAGCCAGTTACCAATGTGACTTTTCCTAACTTAGACTTACTAAGAATATGGGCTTCCTGAATCAGTATCCCAGGGCATACTGGTAGTTAACTTATTTTTATTTTAATATGAATATCTGACAGAAAATAAATAAACAAATACTTGTTCTTATAAATATATTTTTCTTTAGAAAGTGCCCTGCACTTCTTATGGCGAGAGATTGTTACATCTGAGGGTTTGAAACTCTACTATAATCCATACACGGGCTGGTAAGGCAAAATCTTATTTATATGCTTGGTTTAAAAATTAAATAAAAGGAAAAACTCTGTGAGATTTAAAATATATGTCTTTAGCCTTGGCAGTACCTCAAAAAGGTATAATAACTTATAGTCTTATTAAATATTTTTATAGATAGGATAGAGTTAGAATTAATAGCACTTGTCATTTTTCAGTAAATAAATGCAGAAGAGATACTTACTTAAGAAAGACTATTATTCTAAGTAAAAGTGTTATCTTATTTATTATGGACCAGTTTTTACTTTTTCATTAAATTTGTCAACTTCTAATAGAAAGTACTTTTTAGAATCATTAAACATAGTTAATAAATCAGTAGTTACCCTTTTTCATTCATAATTCATAGATGTTATAGAAAGTAGGCAGACATATTTCATTTAATTGTAGAACAGAAAAATGATGGGTCTTTACCAATCTCACTCTTATTTTTATAGATGTAGTTTTCAGCTCGAAGATTTTTTTTTGGTTATCATGTTTCTTTTATTCATAATACAGGGATTTAAATGATCTCACCCTGAAATACAGTTACTTCTATTTGTTTTGTTTTGTTTTGTTTTGAGATAGGATCTTGCTGTGCCTAGATCTCAGCCCTCCAGCTGGGAGTACAGGCAGGTACCACCACACTCAGCTCAATTTTTGTATGTTCAAAGGAATTTTTGTGTTTGGAAGAGACAGAGGAATGGACCAGGGAGAACTCCTAATATAGTCTGCCACATGGTGTCCCAGCCTCCTAGTTATCTAGGATTAGAGGCAGGTACCACCAGGCCAGCCTGTTCTAGATTGGTGTGGAATCCAAACCCAGATCTTTCATGTGGCTCCAGCCTTGCACAGAAGAACCCTACCTCTGGTCCCACTGCTAGTGGAACACAATTCACTTTTAGATAGAATTTGGGTGTGCTGCCCAGGCTAACTTCAAGCTTAAGAACTTCCACCTCAGTCTCCAAAATTTCTGGGATTATAAGAGCATGCCACCACCTGGGCATTGAACCTGGGCCTCCCGTATGGTCTCAGCCTCCAAAACAGTTTCTTAGCAGAGCATGCCACTGCACCTGGGCCTAAAATATAGTTTTAATAACCTTATACTTTTATTCATTTCTTGTTTTTAGGAAAAATAATCAGGAATACTGTCATTTTTATTTATATTTCTTCTATGTGTTTTCTTGTTTTCTTTAGCATCATTCGTGAGTACCCAAATCCTGGGCCACAGTTGCTTGGAGGAATCTTAGCAGATGAGATGGGCCTTGGAAAGACAGTGGAGGTTTTGGCTTTGATTCTGACACATACCCGAGAAGATGTCAAACAAGATGCTCTCACGCTTCCTGAGGTAAGAGGAGTGCTGGAGGGCTCAGGAAAGCAGCGACATATGTTCTCATAAGCATCATATGTTGAACGTTTGCTTGGCACTTAATTCAACACTTTTCTGTTCACTCTGTGACTAATGATTTTTATGTTAATGGTTAACGTTGAATGAGCACAGAGAATGAGATGTTTGTGACCCAGCAGGGTTTAAGAGATGTTGGCCAACTAGACAGTGATATGCAATCATTTATCACGCTTCCTCCTATTCAATAGTTGGCAGAGAAACTCCTTCATTAACGCTTCAAATTTTTTGTTCTTGCTACAGATTTCCATATTACCCCTAAATATATTTATGAGCTATTTTAAAAAATTGTACAACTTGAGGCCAGCAGGTGGCATGGTGGTTGAGGTACTGGACTTTCACCTGGCTGACCATGGTTCCAGTCTCAGACCTGACAGCTTGAAAATCACTCCAGGTGCATGTCCATTTGTTCCCAAAATCCTAGAGGAGAATAGAAAAGAACAGATTGTGGTGTGGCCATTCCCCTAAGGGAATGATTTCTCACTTTCTCACTACCTCCACGTGTCTCTCCAGTGAGCATATGCATCCTATAACAAAAACCTTAAATAAAACAGTCGTATAACTCTCAGATATATAAATTTTAGAATGTAATAATTAGAACTCTATTAAAAGATAAGTATTTTAATAAGAAACAAACTCTTAAGTCTTTGCCCCAAAGTATATAATTATGTTTAAAAATATAAATATTAGAGTTTAGAAAAACTTAGGCATATGCAGTTCATAGTTCATATTTTCCAGTGATGAAATCTGAGATCAGCATTA